TTGACGAACAAAGAAACTCCCTGCCCCACTGGCCCTCAAGACTCGAGGTGTCCGTTCCTCCGGTGAATCTCGCAGGGTTCTAGAAAGTTGTAAAACCACCCAGACCGGTAAAGAATGTTCACGACAATTCTAAAATAATATTCTAGGATCTCCCAAGATGTTCGAGTCCCTATTAATTCGCTAGTTTTTGAATTAAAATATTTATTTTTTTAGAATTAAATCCAACAGAAAAATATTATTCCAGCATTCTGCAAGAAATCAGTTTAGTTTTTGTTACTCTCCTGAATTTGAAATTACGAGATTCCGTATCGGTTACGAATAATTTTTGTCATTTCCCGCACATCTTTTATCTACTAAAATTTCATTTTCTTTCTACCGGAAAATTCGTTGGAAAATCCGCAGACAGAATGAACAAATTGAGAACTGAGGAAAAAAATATTTCTGGGGTCATGAATTTTTGGAGCATAAAAAAGCTGTCTTTAATTGTCAATATCTCTTGAACGAATGGCTCGACTGGGATAAATCACGTTGCATTCTAAAGCTTAAAAAATCCTTCGAGTTAAAAAAAAGAAGGCGGACAACTCTGCCGTTCTTGAATTATTGACGAACAAAGAAGCTCCCTGCCCCACTGGCCCTCAACACTTGAGGCGGCTGTTCCTCCAGTGAATCGCGCAGGGTTCTAGAAAGTTGTAGAGCCACCCAGACCGGTACAGAATGTTCCCGACAATTCTAAAATATTCCAGGATCTCTCAAGATGTTCGAGTCCCTATTAGCTCGCTAGTTTTGTAATTCAAAATATCTATTTTAAAAATAAATCTAATAGAAAAATAGTATCCCCGTATTCGAAGGAATTTTGAATTACTCGAAAAAAAAATCCCGAGCAATAATTCCCCTTTTTGTTATTCTCTTGAATTTGTCCCTTTCCGTACATCTCAAAATACAGAAGTTCCATTTTTTTAGACCGGAATATCTGCTGGAAAATCCACAGACAGAATGAACAAATTAAGAGTTCACGGGAAAAAAACATTTCTAGAGTCATGAATTTTTGGAGCACAACAAATAATTCGACTGGGATGAATTCCGTCTCATTCTGAAGCTTAAAAAACCCCTCGAGATTGAAAAACAAGTCGAAAAATACTGTTCAACCATTCTCAAATTATAAACGATCAAAGAAAGTCCCCGCCCCAGTGTCTCCTAGAAAGTTGTAGAACCGTCCAGACCGGTGCACAATATTCCCGACAATTCTAAAAATTTCCAGCACCTCCCAAGACGTTCCAGTCCACCTCACTTTACTAGGGTGAACAGGCCAATTGCTGGACGGTTAAGGGGTAACAGAAGGCTACCGTTTCCTCGAAATTTTCAAACAAATTTCCTGCTCAAAGTTATTAATATTTTTTGAACCCAAAGCACACTGATCTTCATTATCACTTCCTGGAGCTTAATGTGATTGGATTTGTAAAAATATCGATAACTTTCAGCAGGAAATTTGTTCAAAAAATTGGAAAATCAGCGGCATTCTGTTACCCCTTAAGGGAAATTCGAGTTTCTGATAGGATCTAAAATAAAAGAATCACCTAAATGGGGATATAACGATTTCAATACTTTCAAGAATGCTTTAATTAGCAGAAAAAAATTATTTGAAGTGAAAATAACAAAACAAAGAATAATTCAGTAGCGAAGTGGTAAAACGGTTCAAGTAGACTTATCTCCCAGTTGAGTTTTTGAGGAATATTTTCGAATCTAAGGAAGATAGCGAAATTTTCATAACCACATTTGTCGTAGCTCTCAAGTGGCTCTACGAAAAAGGTTATAACAAAAATTTTGCTATCTCCCTTAGATTCCTAGATATTCATTGAAAACCGGCCAATAGTCAAAATTGACTTGAACCGGTTTACCACTTCGCTACTGAATTAAATTAAGAAATAGTTGAATGCAGCCGAAACCTCTAATCTCTGGACGACTGAGCCTTTTTTTTATTTATTCAAGGTCGACCAATAGAAAAATAATTGATCACATGATGAAGGTGAAAAAATCAGTACAATTTTCATTTTATTTATGGAATATTCAATGCAAGTTGAGATCGTCCAGAACTACCCTCCTCCAGAAATTGACCAGTTTACCCTACCTCACCTAAAAATCATTAATTTTAAAAATAAATCCACCAAGACAACATCATTCCCGTATACCGATGAATTTAGAATTCCCCGAACAAAAATTTCCCAAGTAATAACCAACCCTCCCCAGTGCAACTGCCAACAATTGTTGCCAAAACACGACATCACTTACCTACATCACAAGATAAATGCGTAATGCTCCGTTTTCTATTTACGTATCTCGTTATTTTCCCTCCCGAGATATTAAAATTCATTAATTCACAGTGAAATGAAAGCAACGACAATTCAGAACTAGTGCACAAAATGAATAATTAACCGGAGTAAATCCCGACTTGTTTTGAACCGGCTCCAACAAAACAAAGATGGCGGCTCTGTGTCACACAATGGCCGAAGTCCGTGTGTTGGAAAATTCGGAGCGATTCCTGGGGAGCGATTTTGCTCGTTTTATGTCCACATAAAATCACAAATTTCTACCAATCCTAGTTGAGTATTCCGAATCCAGGACTGTCATTGGTCGAAATTTACGATTTTATGTCGACATAAAACGAGCAAAATCGCTCCCCTGTTTAGAAAGAGACAAGATCTATGCGCGCGCTCTCGCGCGCGCTGATCTATTCATTTGTTGAAATGAAGAAATGGAATTCATTAAATTTCATTTTCTCATGAATACCTTATAAATATTGATAATGAATCAAAGAGAATTCGACTAATGATTGAAGTGAATAGCGAAGTAGAGTAAAAGCATCTATAAAGAATTTTTTATTTTCAATTGATTATCTTCAATTTTTTTAAATAATCGGTCTCCATAAAAGGACAGAATTTATTAATGTCACCGATAATACATATACACGTGAAATATAAATATTATATGACGTGAAAAAAAAATGTATNATCAGCGGCATTCTGTTACCCCTTAAGGGAAATTCGAGTTTCTGATAGGATCTAAAATAAAAGAATCACCTAAATGGGGATATAACGATTTCAATACTTTCAAGAATGCTTTAATTAGCAGAAAAAAATTATTTGAAGTGAAAATAACAAAACAAAGAATAATTCAGTAGCGAAGTGGTAAAACGGTTCAAGTAGACTTATCTCCCCGTTGAGTTTTTGAGGAATATTTTCGAATCTAAGGAAGATAGCGAAATTTTCATAACCACATTTGTCGTAGCTCTCAAGTGGCTCTACGAAAAAGGTTATAACAAAAATTTTGCTATCTCCCTTAGATTCCTAGATATTCATTGAAAACCGGCCAATAGTCAAAATTGACTTGAACCGGTTTACCACTTCGCTACTGAATTAAATTAAGAAATAGTTGAATGCAGCCGAAACCTCTAATCTCTGGACGACTGAGCCTTTTTTTTATTTATTCAAGGTCGACCAATAGAAAAATAATTGATCACATGATGAAGGTGAAAAAATCAGTACAATTTTCATTTTATTTATGGAATATTCAATGCAAGTTGAGATCGTCCAGAACTACCCTCCTCCAGAAATTGACCAGTTTACCCTACCTCACCTAAAAATCATTAATTTTAAAAATAAATCCACCAAGACAACATCATTCCCGTATACCGATGAATTTAGAATTCCCCGAACAAAAATTTCCCAAGTAATAACCAACCCTCCCCAGTGCAACTGCCAACAATTGTTGCCAAAACACGACATCACTTACCTACATCACAAGATAAATGCGTAATGCTCCGTTTTCTATTTACGTATCTCGTTATTTTCCCTCCCGAGATATTAAAATTCATTAATTCACAGTGAAATGAAAGCAACGACAATTCAGAACTAGTGCACAAAATGAATAATTAACCGGAGTAAATCCCGACTTGTTTTGAACCGGCTCCAACAAAACAAAGATGGCGGCTCTGTGTCACACAATGGCCGAAGTCCGTGTGTTGGAAAATTCGGAGCGATTCCTGGGGAGCGATTTTGCTCGTTTTATGTCCACATAAAATCACAAATTTCTACCAATCCTAGTTGAGTATTCCGAATCCAGGACTGTCATTGGTCGAAATTTACGATTTTATGTCGACATAAAACGAGCAAAATCGCTCCCCTGTTTAGAAAGAGACAAGATCTATTCGCGCGCTCTCGCGCGCGCTGATCTATTCATTTGTTGAAATGAAGAAATGGAATTCATTGAATTTCATTTTCTCATGAATACCTTATAAATATTGATAATGAATCAAAGAGAATTCGACTAATGATTGAAGTGAATAGCGAAGTAGAGTAAAAGCATCTATAAAGAATTTTTTATTTTCAATTGATTATCTTCAATTTTTTTAAATAATCGGTCTCCATAAAAGGACAGAATTTATTAATGTCACCGATAATACATATACACGTGAAATATAAATATTATATGACGTGAAAAAAAAATGTATCTCTGAAGAATTTGAAAATGCCGCGTGTTTTTTTTGTGAATAACTTCGTGTCACATATTGACCAATCAGAATTAAGAATTAGCGGTCAGGCAGTTTCGAGATATTTCGATATGAAACAACTTCACGTTTCTTTCATCTTTAGTAAATAGGATTCATTAATTCACAGTGAAATGAAAGCAACGACAATTCAGAACTAGTGCACGAAATGAATAATTAACCGGAGTAAATCCCGACTTGTTTTGAACCGGCTCCAACAAAACAAAGATGGCGGCTCTGTGTCACACAATGGCCGAAGCCCGTGTGTTGGTAAATTCGGAGCGATTTTGCTCGTTTTATGTCCACCTAAAATCATAAATTTCTACCAAAAAATCCTAGTTGAGTATTCCGAATCCAGGACTATCATTGGTTGAAATTGACGATTTTATTTCGACATAAAACGAGCAAAATCGCTCCCGTTTCGAAAGAGACGAGAATGAAGTAAAAAAAAAGGTCTTACCTCTGAGAGCGTCCTGACGCTCGTCCTCCCGCTCCTCCAGTATTTTCTCAACCATTCTGGCGGCACAAATGACGTCAGATAGAATCTCCAAAGACGTTAAAAGTGACCCTTCCCCAACAACAATATATCCTGAATCTCTGTAACCCCTCGCACCGGTATTACCGCGTAATAATAGTAAAAAAGTCAGTCGTATATACAAAAAAACCGCCCCCTCCCAAGGTTGTTTTTCATCAACTGATAGAACAATCAGTGTCCCCTAAATTCCCGTATGCCTGGAAATCTCGTTACTTCACCCCTGCAATTATCAATCCAACCGTCAAAGACAATGAGCAGGAACAACACGGGCCGTACCGTTGTATATCAGTGTATCACAGATATAAATAAATATATAAACCCTATCTAGAAATTTACTCTGTCCGCCTGACGACTTGATGACTGATATTTATTCAAAAGCGAACATCAACACAGTTTCACGACGAAACTCTCAAATGATCTCCATAAATTCTTCATCAATAAATACTATCACAGACTTTGACACAACACTTTCACCCTGGCGAAATGTGAAATTTTGCCGTTTTAACCGATAATATTTGCTGCGTCTTCACCTTCTATTGACTATCTCTCCCCCCGTCTTTCTCTCATCCGCCTTTCGTGCTCTATTCTTTCTCTCAAAACTCTTCACCTCAACCGCAGCCGACTCGCACCGAGTGTGACGATGTTAACCTTCTCTTTCCGAAAGAAAATCAAATTTTCTCCGATTCTCCGAGTATGAAAATACCCGAGGAACTCTCTTCCAATCGGAACAACTGGGGCTCGCTGGTGTTGAGCCGATTGTTCAGATAAACCCTGAGATGTTGATTTTATATTGCGATCACACAGCCTCTCGCACAAAGCGTTGAATGGGCTCGGAAGCGCATTAAAAATTCACCGGCTAACACATCTGGCCTACTCTTGACGTTCACCTTCCCTCACTGCTCAGTACTCGGCAGCTGGTTTCCGACTGAGCTCACCAAAATGGCCACCTCGACTACTGGTCGCCCCTCGCTCGCTCCCCCCACCACTCGCCCCCCTGTGCAACTCATGTTTTCGTTTTGTTCCCCACTTCGAGGAGCGGCTGCTCTCTCTCTGTTCGCGACGCGGGCGAGACGATGATTCGCTCTCTCTTCAGCGCAGACTCCCACGGTCCGACGCTCGCCAACGCCCTCTACACCCGTTATGAGACTCGAGTCACGTAGGCTACATCCCCCCCCCCGGCGCTCCGGCGGTTACATTTCTCTTTTTATTTTTTTCATTGTTCTTCTTTGTTGGCGACAAATCCGCATGATGCAAAGCCCGCATTATTTCAACTGTTCGAACACGCGTGATTAATTCACCTGGAATATTTGGTTTCGCGTGAATCACGCTGTTTCGTAATTATGAGGTGGAGGTTGGTGGGGGTCGGTATCTAGTTGATCTTGAAAACGCGAAATTTTTTTGATTGGAGAAGAACACTTGGAAGAACGACTTTTTGTTTAACTGAGGGAGTTATCGCTCTCGAGTTGATATGAATTTTGATGCAACAACTGGAGCTGATTATTTGGGAATTGAATGTTTGAATAGCTGGCAGTACTGCCAAGATACTTGGTTATTGAATTCAGTATTTTTCATATTAAAAACTACGGCAATTCAGCACTAGTTACATTTCAGTAGCGAAGTGGTGAAACGGTTCAAGTTAATTTTTACTATTGGCCAGTTTTCAATGAATATCTCGGAATCGAAGGGAGATGTCAAAATTTTTGTTATAACCTTTTTTGTAGAGCCAGTTGAGAGCTGCAACAAATGTAATTACGAAAATTTCGCTATCTTCCTGGATTCTAAAATATTCTGCAAAAACTCAACTGGGAGATAAGTCGATTTAAACCGTTTTACCATTCCGCTACTGATTTCACTCTTTTGTTTTCATTGTTCTTATTATCATGTCAATTGTTCGGAAATGCGCGATGTTAATTCACCTAACACTTGTTCTTGAATATTCGTAGGTTGCTCTTGTTCTTGTTGGTGGCGGGGAGTCCAGTTGATCTTGAAAGCTGACGAAATTTTTTTGATTATTGAAAAACACTTGGGAGATCGACTTTTTGTTTAACTGAGGGAGTTATCGCTCTCGAGTTGATATGAATTTTGATGCAACAACTGGAGCTGATTATTTGGGAATTGAATGTTTGAATAGCTGGCAGTACTGCCAAGATACTTGGTTATTGAATTCAGTATTTTTCATATTAAAAACTACGGCAATTCAGCACTAGTTACATTTCAGTAGCGAAGTGGTGAAACGGTTCAAGTTAATTTTTACTATTGGCCAGTTTTCAATGAATATCTCGGAATCGAAGGGAGATGTCAAAATTTTTGTTATAACCTTTTTTGTAGAGCCAATTGAGAGCTGCAACAAATGTAATTACGAAAATTTCGCTATCTTCCTGGATTCTAAAATATTCTGCAAAAACTCAACTGGGAGATAAGTCGATTTAAACCGTTTTACCATTCCGCTACTGATTTCACTCTTTTGTTTTCATTGTTCTTATTATCATGTCAATTGTTCGGAAATGCGCGATGTTAATTCACCTAACACTTGTTCTTGAATATTCGTAGGTTGCTCTTGTTCTTGTTGGTGGCGGGGAGTCCAGTTGATCTTGAAAGCTGACGAAATTTTTTTGATTATTGAAAAACACTTGGGAGATCGACTTTTTGTTTAACTGAGGGAGTTATCGCTCTCGAGTTGATATGAATTTTGATGCAACAACTGGAGCTGATTATTTGGGAATTGAATGTTTGAATACCTGGCAGTACTGCCAAGATACTTGGTTATTGAATTCAGTATTTTTCATATTAAAAACTACGGCAATTCAGAACTAGTTACATTTCAGTAGCGAAGTGGTGAAACGGTTCAAGTCAATTTTTACTATTGGCCAGTTTTCAATGAATATCTCGGAATCGAAGGGAGATGTCAAAATTTTTGTTATAACCTTTTTTGTAGAGCTAATTGAGAGCTGTAACAAATGTAATTACGAAAATTTCTCTATCTTCCTTGGATTCTAAAATATTCTGCAAAAACTCAACTGGGAGATAAGTCGATTTAAACCGTTTTACCATTCCGCTACTGATTTCACTCTTTTGTTTTCATTGTTCTTATTATCATGTCAATTGTTCGGAAATGCGCGATGTTAATTCACCTAACACTTGTTCTTGAATATTCGTAGGTTGCTCTTGTTCTTGTTGGTGGCGGGGAGTCCAGTTGATCTTGAAAGCTGACGAAATTTTTTTGATTATTGAAAAACACTTGGGAGATCGACTTTTTGTTTAACTGAGGGAGTTATCGCTCTCGAGTTGATATGAATTTTGATGCAACAACTGGAGCTGATTATTTGGGAATTGAATGTTTGAATAGCTGGCAGTACTGCCAAGATACTTGGTTATTGAATTCAGTATTTTTCATATTAAAAACGACGGCAATTCGGAACCAGTTTACATTTCTCTCTTTAGTTTTTATTGTTCTTATTATCACCATGTCAATTGTTCGAACATGCATGATGTTAATTGACCTAAAATATTTCAGTAGCGAAGTGGTAAAACGGTATATGTCAATTTTGACCATTGACCAGTTTTCAATGAATATCTCGGAATCGAAGGGAGATGGCAAAATTTTTGTTATAACCTTTTTTGTAGAGCCGATGGAGTGCTACAACAAATGTATTTACAAAAATTTCGCTACCTCCCTTCGATTCGGAAATATTCCTCAAAAACTCAACTGGGAGATAAGTCGACTTAAACGGTTTTACCACTTCGCTACTGATTTGTTCTAGAATATTCGTAGGTTGTCGTTATTGATCTTGAAAACTGACGAAATTTTTTGATTATCAAAATCGACTGAGAATGGTTATTTAAACCGCAAGAACTGGAGAGAATTATTTTTTGTTTAACTGAGTTATCTCCTTCGTGTTGATATCAATTTTCATTAAACAACTCGAGTTGATTATTTGGGAAATAAATATTTAAGTACCTGACTGCACTGCCCAGATAATTGTCTGGTGAATTTAGTATATTTTTTTATATTGCTCTCTATTTTCATTTTGGTTGAAATCTAGAACTAGTTCATTTTCCTTTCTTTAGTTTTCACTGTTCTTATTCTCATCGTGTCAATTGTTCGAAGATTATTAAGATAAGATGATTAATTTACCTGGAATATTTGCTTTCGCGTGAAACATATTTTTTCATAATTATGAGCGTTATAGGATATTCGTAAGTTGTTATTGTTCTTGTTCATGGCTAGGAATCGGTGTCCAGTTGATCTCAAAAACTGACGAAATTTTGTTAATTATTGAAATAGATTCAGAATGATTGATCAACCCGCAAGCACTTGGGAGAATTATTTTGATCGAACTGAGAGAGTTATCTCCTTCGTGTTGATATTAATTCTGATCCAACAACTGGAGTTGATTATTTGGGAATTAAATGTTTGAATACCCGACTATCTCAGATAATTTGTTCTATTTTAATTAGATAATTAATTATATTTTTTTATATTGCTCTTGATTTTTATTTTGGTTGAAATAAAAGCGACGGCAACGCAGAACTATTTTATGTTTCCCTCTTTATTTTTCATTGTTCTTCCTCGTTGGAGACAAATCCGCATGATGCAAGACGGCATCATATCAACTGTTCGAACGTGCGCGATGGTAATTTACCCGAAATATTTGTTTTCGCGTGAATCATATTGTTTCTTAATTATGAGCGTTATAGGGTATTCGTAAGTTGTTGTTGTTCTCGTTGATGAGTGAGGGGTCAGTGTCCAGTTGATCTCGAGAACTGACGAAATTTTTTTGATTATTGAAATTGATTCACGATGGCGGTTCAAACCGCAAGCGCTTGGGAGAATGATTTTTTACTTAACTGAGGGAGTTATCTCCTCTGTATTGACATGAATTTTAATCCGACTCATGTTGATTATTTGGGAATTAAATGTTTAAATACCTGGCTGCACTGCACCAGATACTTGGTTGTTGAATTCAGTATATTTTTTCACATTACTCGCAACTTTTATTGTTCGGAGTAATTTTCTAGTGGGTGAATTATCAATTCAGTACACTGTTAAAAAATTTTCACTGAAGTTTCCAGGCTTTAGTCTTGAAATATGAAATAAGTGACGGTTTCATTGAAATTTCAGGGAATTTTATCATTGAAAATTCGTGGTTTTCGTGGAAAATTCATGGAAATTTTAAATTTCAGTTTAATTATTCCATGAAAATTGGGAAAATTCAAGCAAAAATGTCCTTGAATTTTCAATTTTTTGAAATTTCAGAGCAATTTCTTATTGAATTATCATGCTTACATTGAAAATTCATGGAAATTTCGGAATTTTCATGGTTCTTCCACTGAAAAATCAGGAATTTCCTTGAATTTTCAGGGAAAATTGAAGTTTCCTAGAATTTTTTCCGTTAAATCGAATTCAGTGTAATTTTCTGGAAAATTCAGTTAAATTTTTTTAACAGTGTAGCGAAGTGGTAAAACGGTACAAGTCAATTTTGACTATTGACCAGTTTTCAGTGAATATCTCGGAATCTAAGGGGAATCGCAAAATTTTTGTTATAACCTTTTTTGTAGAGCCGATTGAGAGCTACAACAAATGTAATCACGGAAATTTCGCTATCTCCCTTAGAGCCCGAAATATTCCTCAAAAACTCAACTGGGAGATGAGTCGACTTAAACCGTTTTACCACTTCGCTACTGAGTTATAGAATAAAAACCACGAGAGCCCGTGTACAATGAAAAATTGGATCATTAGATTTTATCAAAGCTGTTGCAACTGATGCTTATTAATCATCCGGAAATGAGGTGTCATTTGTTCCCCCACGAGCTCAAAAAATTACAGAATTTTTCTGAAACATGAAAAAACATGTTTCTTCGGGAAACGGATAAACGTAATTGGGATCTTTATCATTTTCCATTGAAGAGGG